AGGAAAGTGAAAGCTTCTTTTGGCTTGGGTTAGTCTCCCAAGGGCAGTGGTAGAACCCCCTATTGTTTATGGCGTTTATAGCCAGACTGGACAAAACACTGGAATTTGTTTCATAAGGAACAATCTTGCCTTGTCTGGGAGATGGACTGGATAATGTTACAGATGAGACAGACCTCATCATGTGACTCTGCCAGAGCAGCAGCCTCAGCAGTGGAGACGGCAGGGGCAACTTGGCTTCCTCGCTGTCCCTGGCTTCTCCTACAGGTGCCAGGTCACAAAGTGACTGATTAGAGGCCGTGAGTCTTCGCAGCACCCCATCACCCTGCGCTTCACATAACCACCTACAACAAGGCTTTAAAGCCTCCAGCTCTCCCAGGAGTTTCTGCAGAATTGCAGCAGCAAAAGAGGCAACTTTGCAGTTAAGAAACACTCCCTCCTGTTTCAGAGCCTGCATTTATCCAAATCAGAGCCTGCATTTATCCAACCTTTTGATTCTGCCAGCTACAGTTTTTGTACGCTGTGTGGATACTAACTCATGTTTACCTGTTCTACCTCTACTCCCTCCCATTCCCCATTCCCCAGGCTTATGCTTTGTGTTCCAGTCCTTTTTCCTCCGTATCACTAGCCCCCACTCCTAATGTTCCATGGCCCTTCACCCCCATAACAACAGAAACCTAAAAATAAAAATCTTTGTTTTAGATTTTTGTTCTTTCCTTCTTTCTTTTTTTTTAGTTGAAAAATCACACAATTTTTTTAAAAAAGGAAAAATTTCCAAGAAAATTGTTCATTTTGGAAAACGGCCATTTTTCATTGTAATGCATTTTGAGCAAAATATTTTGACCAGCTCTATAACCGCTATTTTTTTTAATCTTGAGTCTTGAGTTTATTTTTTATGGTCTTAAAATAGCAATTGAAATATTGGTGTGAGGCACTTTCTTGGGGTTGATAACTGGCTGTGGGTTTACGGTTCAAGGTGCAGTTTCTCCCAGCCATTTGCTAATTCCCAGGAAATGTCCCATGTGTGGAGCCTTATTAGTTTTTTTTAATACCTGCCCCAGCAAGTCTGGTCAGCCCTGCTCTGCTGGCAAAATGTTTGTGTTTTAGCAGAATACTTCCCCAGTGTATGAAATACTAATCAGAGAAATGCATAATCTGGTTATGTGGCCAAGTGGTTAGCACACACGACAGGTCCTATTCTAATCTCTTCTATTTATTCTTCTTGTACAAGTCCCTAAGTATCTTTGTGCTTCAGTTTACCCATCTGTAAAATGCATGTTATGATTACCATATTACTTCACAAGGACGTAAGTGTTTTGGGTTCCTTGAATGAACATTTCTATAGAAGAGTAGATGGTGGCTATTGTTCTTAGAGATGTCCTTAAACCATAAAATCCAGATCTGAATTTTGAATATTCCCAACTGTGTGTGAGGATTAAAAGCTTTTAGTCTCCCATGGAGTTAAATTCCAATTATAGATCTGGTTTGGAAGTCTGGACCCTCAAAGGCTATGGGGTGTTTATATCTGCCCTTTTGCTGTGGGATGTATATGTGCTACTATTACTGGATGTTTCTGATATGCCATTTAGCAGTGATGTGTGCAACAGACATTTTGACTTTCATCCCAGAATGAAACAGAAAGCCTCCTTTCTACCTCAGAACACAAAGGAGTGCTTGTTTTGCTCACAGCATCTGGACAGACCGTGATCTCATTCCCAGTGTGTTCATTTTTATCTAGCTTTATTATTATTATTATTAGTGATATTATAGAGTGAGTAAGAGAAAGTAATGAATTACCTTGGGTCTACTACTTAGCAGTACGGCAGTTCAGGTATGAATGAGAGCATTTGTGGACTCTGAGGAAAATGAAGCTGTCAGGGAAGCTAGACTAAAACAGCTTTACCGTGTTGTACATGTAGAATCCCAGTATTTTACCAATAAAGTACGTGAAAAAGGAATCTAATGCATTTGAACTAAAAGGCTCCACTTGATTTGTAACATTTGCAAGTTACTTTGGATTGTTTATTCCCTGTTCTTAGTAAATCACATACTAGTAGAGATAACAGCGATTTATCATGAAGTCTTGACCTGTGTTCTGTGCAGAGTTGGAATGTTACTGGAGTGATTCAGTTTGATGCAATGTTTGTCATAAGCATTTCTGATAGTGATGATGCAAGGCTCAGTCCTGCAGTCTTTACTCAAACTAAACTCCCAATTCACTTAAGTGGATGTTTATCCTTAGGCTTGGCTGAATTCTGTTTTTAGTTTATTATTAATTTTGACAGATAATATCAGTGTTTATATTTAAGCATTTTTCTTGATGTTTATCTATTTAATTTTTCACAGTTGTGGGAAATTGTGGAGGGTCAGATGGCAGGAGGGGAACAATTATTTAATGACAGTAGACATTGAGATTCAAAAAGTTAAAGCTTTATAAGTGTTCAGACATAAACTGTCGACATTGTATATGGAGATAGACCTATCTCATAGAGCTGGAAGGGGCCTTGAAAGGTCATTGAGTCCAGTCCCCTGCCTTCACTAGCAGGACCAAGTACTGTCCCTGACAGTTTTTTCCTCCCACCCCAGATGGCCCTCTCAAGGATTGAACTCACAACGCTGGGTTTAGCAGGCCAATGTTCAAACCACTGAGCTATCCCTCCCCCCAATCAAAACTTTAGCTTTAAATCAAACTCTAATAAGTTCTCAAACAGCATTTTTCTTACTTTGTCTATCTGTAAATGTTGATGATCATCAATGGAAATATTTTTTGCTGGTTTGTGCTTGTTGAAATTGACACTTATCAATAAAAATCTAATCCTTCCAAGCCTATTTATCTTGCATAAGAACTGCAGGTTGTGCCCCCCAACCATATATATTGCATGCTATGTAACCTTTGTGATTCGGTAGCACATGAACCAGCTGTGAAACAACTGCAATCATCCTAGAATGAAATATAATTTCATTCTTTACATTTCAAAATACCTTCAACCACTCGTGCTTATTCACAAGCAAAGCAGACAAATAGGCCTTTCTTTGTAACAGCAGGGTTTCCAGTAGCTTTGTTTCCCTATTGTTTAGTGTTTGTAATTATCATTTAATGATTGCAGACTTGCAGTGCCAGGGTATTGTTTGTGTAACTGTGCCCTATTTTATACTTCTCTCATAGAATGTCTTCAAATGGATTTAAAAAAGGACTGGATAATGAAGGGGAAAACAAGTATGACTTTTAACCCCTTACAGTATCAACGGCAATCAAAAGACTCCAAAATTTTAATTCTCACAAATATTTATTCCTCGTACATGGAATTCAAGCTAATCAGTTTAGTCATCCCCAGTGTTAGCAGGCAAGAAAATCAAGTTTCCCCTTGTCAAAATTCATCCTCCATTTGTTTTAGGACTGAATCATTTTTAATTACTCATATCATTATGTTTGCTCCCATACAGGTGTTGCTGGTAGTCAGGACTGTATATTTCTATGGCCTAGACCAAGAGAATAAAAGATCTCACCTCTTGGGAATTAAGACTTGAGAATCAAGGGCACTTAGGCATCTGACAAGATCAGATAAGATAACAGATGATTAAGCCTCATACTACTGAATTCAACGAGATTGATTGATTGATTTATGACCTTGACAACCATTCAGTGTTGAGGGCATCCTGACATAGAATTAAAAGATGGCTGACCATCTAAGGACTACCAGTCAAGATTTGGCACTGTATGTATTCCGAACTGATGGAAAATACAAGAGCAAGTGAAAACTGGAGAACCTCACTGGATTGCACCTTACTAATGCCCATTTGTGATTAAAAACCTTTGGTGCTCAATTTAGGAAGTTTGTTTTTATACTACTGTGAAGGTAGGGGCAGGAGACACTAAGTAATTGGGTGCAGACTGCAGCAAACTGTATTACTCTGGGTGTATTACTCCTTCTGGCTGGATTTGCTGGGAAAGCAACATTAGTTTCAGCCTCAGAGTTAAGAAATGCAGGATTCTTGAACATTGACTTACTCTGTCTTGACAGTTATTGCAAATGGAACTGTGAGGTATTCAACAACATATTTAATTTACAAAGATATTCTTTTTTTAAAATTCAGTTGCAGCTTTCTCAAAGACTCTCAGTAAACAAAAGGCTGGACATAACATGAAAATAAATCAAAACTAAACAGTAAATGAAAAGGTACACACAATGCAAACCTCATTATCAGGCTATATCAGTGAATATTTCTGGATGCAATATTATTGCCTTTCAGTTATTTCAGTGTCTGTCTGGATGCTCTTCCAATTGTCCTTTAAGAAAAATAGTATTTTATAAATCCCAAACCCACTGTTTTATCACCCAAGTCATCCTGATCTCATCTAGTCTAGTAATTTAAAGAGCTGTAAACTTTAACTTCTTACTTGGACGCACTTTTCATAGTATTGTGCAAAGCACTTTCGATTTTGGATTGTGAAACATATGATCCTACCCTGACTCTCAAGTGACCATGACTGGAAAGTTCTGACTCATTTTGTTCTCTAGACTTGCTGAAGTGATTCACAGATCTTTTAGTGCTTCAGACAATTTGTTAGAAACAAATTAGCATCATTATCCTTGCCATTTATACCTACTATTTTCATAGCACCTCTGGTGTGTGGAGAGCTGTAAAGGCAAGTATCAAGATGTTTGGACCCTAACATTATACCAAAAATATATTATTAAAATAAAAGGACAGAATACATGAAGAGTGCTAGGGGATTACTACAGTTAATGAATCTTTCAGGGCAGGCTGCACAGTTGCACATAAGGATAAACAGACTAAAGCCTGGTTGCACTGTCGATACCTGGTTAGGAGTTTGTTTGTTATTTGTTTATTGGTATTTTTATTGTAAAGAAATGAAGTACACCTCGGTGGAAAAACTGGGATTTAACAGGCTGTCTGGTAGAAGGCAGCTTTAAAGAGATGTTGGGGGTGGAGGAATTACCAAGTATTTTGCTTATGTATTTTCTTTGCTTTTATTTTAGTTTGCAAGTATGCCTGCCACAAGAAATGTGAAGCAAAGGTAAGCACCTTCCAGATATTCATTTCTCTGCTTGATAATAGTCTCCATTTATTTGAAGTTTCGTAGACATTAAGACTATATCAGTTAATCAAAATAAGAGGATTGCTTAACCAGATGCTCAGCTGTTAAGAAATCGTTAATCGCTTTCACTTCTAAAAATTCCTTCCTGTTATTTTGTCTTGTATTTGTTGCTTAACAGCTTGATCCCACACCACTGAAATCAGGAATTTTACATTTGACCTTAATGGGAACAGGATAGTGATCTCACTTCATACATCTCCATTTAATTGTAGATGAACTTACATAATATCTTGTGGTAGTTTTAGTTTGATCAGAGATAGATCTTATTAATAATTCTCCCATTGAAGCCAATGAGTATCTTGCCATTTTCTTCAATAGGTACAGCATCTCATCCTTTATAGTCAAAGCATCAGCATCAGTGGTTTCAGTACCTTACTCCTCCCACAAGGGGGCATGGTTCAAGTAGAAAACTGCTTTCTAACCTGATTGATTATAAGCTACAGAGTTCCACAGCTAAGGAGGAAACATGCCCAGTAAACCAGGTACATTCTGCTGTTCTGTGTCAAAATGCAGAAGTGATGGGTGCTTTAGAAATGTCAAAGATAGAAATACAGATGAAGAGACAAATAGAAGTTCCATTGGCAGCACAAAGATTTGAGTGTAGGAACAGTAATGAAGATGTTAAGCCCTAGTTTCCCCCCACAAGTCAAGTGGCAATATCCTCTTTCCATCACTGCCACTTAATTTATCTCCAAATATACAATGTCACTAGCTTTAATTTTTCTTTCTGGCTTTAATCCTGTGCTCACCTTGAAAAGTTTTTTTTTTAATTATTTGATTAAACTAAATATATTCACCCACACTGATGTTTCCAAAGCCCAGAGTGAGCTTTTTGTTTCATTGTTAAATCTGGCACTAAAAGCAGATGGTGAACGTCAACAGAACATCAAGACAGCATAATCCAACATTGTTGAAAAAGGGCTGTTTTTCATTAGTTTTGGATGGCAGGGGACTAATCTATGACATGTTGAGACAATCTAATTTTGAAGGGCAAAAAGGGAAAAGAAAAAATGCACACCAAGGTGCCACGTGCTTACATAATCCTAAAATGTCTTTGTATGAGGAGCAAATTAATAATCAACACATTCACCCTTTGGGTTTTCATACAGAGAACACCTGTAAAGATCAAAAACATTATTATTATTTTATTATTACTATGATTGTAGTAGAAGGATTTTATGTGTACATAATTATACCTTTGCTCAAAAGTGTTGCTTTAGAAATTTTGCTAAGGGCTAAAACTTGGCATACTGTAAAGTACTATTAAGATTGTAAGAAACTGACATCTGGAAGGAAATTCACATTTAAGGATGACACTCAGAACTCCCCCCCCCCCCACTCCATTCTTAAGTACATAGCAGAAAAAATTAGATTAAAAACCAGGGTGTTACGCCATTCTATGGTATGTTCTGCTTTGATGTTTATAAGCAAGGATATTATTGAACATATAAAATGTGCTCCACTATTTAGACAGGTCAACATCAGTGAGAGATGAAGTTGCCATTTACTAGTATTAATTTGGTTTAACATTACAGTACTTAAACTTTAAAAAAAAATTATTATTTCATTGCTGAAGGATTTATGTCATATTAATGTAGTGTTTTCCTGAAGATTATTATTAATGAGAAGTGAATGAAACATCAAACATTTGACTTATTTCCCCTACAGCATGATTCTTAATACAAACTTCCATTTTGCGCTTCTCCTTTGCTGCTTTTTTTTTTTTTTTGCAGTCTGGTTAGTTTTATGCATTAAAATAATCCTGCAAATTAGCCCTGCTAAGACATTTTCAGATTTGCAGAGATGTCCTGTAAAATTAATTGCCATAAGGAAATACAAGATGTACTAAACCACCATTGAGTTAGTGTGATCCCATCAGATTAAGCTGAGGAGGGCTGGGTTAAGTCAGTGCTTGGATAGTAGACTTTCAAGCAACACAGGTATTACAATAAATAGTAACAATGATTCAGTAGGTGGCATGTTCCCTTCTGAGTGCTATGCTGCTGAAGGTGTCATCTTTGAAATAACATAGAAAATTGATGTTCTGAATATTAGACATTTTTCAGATTAATAGGGGAAGTTTTCAAAGTTAGGTGCCCAACTCCCATTGACTTTCAAAGGCCATTAGGTGCCCAACTGTTATTTGTGCCTTTGGAAATCTCTGCCAGTGTCACATGTCACAGAAGTGCAAAGTGTGATTCCTGCTGCTGCTATTTCAAATGAAATAGACAAGTACAAAACATCAGTATTAGTATAAGTCTGCAACTAAACTATTATTACTGAGCAACTACACTTTGTAACCTCAGAAGTAGTTGGATTTCAGTGATGGATAAATGGATCCTTGTGTATAGTCTCTGATCCTGCAGATCCTTCCTCCTGAAGACCTCTGTAGGAGTCCATTGACTTCAGTGGGACTCTGCATGAACGTAAGCATTCACCCGTGAAGATATGATTGCATGATCAGGGTAATAGCCTAGATGCCTGGGTTAAAATATATTATATAATGGTAATGGGCTTCAAAAATGCTAATCACAGCTGGATATGTAACTCCCTTGGTGCTACCTTAGCTTATATGTTTTGGGAGTACCCCTCTAACACCTTCTTTTCAATAGAGAAACATACCACAAGATTTAAAACATCAGCAGTTAATCAGGAGTAAATTGCATGGGAAAGGAGTGCATGCGGGCAGACCCAGTTCTATTTTTCTTATGATTGAATCTGTTTTGAAGACAATAATGTATGCGCACATCAGGGGCCTGATCAAAAGCCCATTGAAGACAATGGAACCTGTGTGAAATTACTGTTATAAGTGGCTCAGGCTACACAGCATCTTACTGAACCAAATCATGTTTGAAAAAAAATCACTTAAAAACAACAGCACAAAGCATTCACCAGTAAATTAATGAAAATTGACATTGTGATGTTGTCAGAGAATTTCATTTCATTAGTGGTATTTTTGGTATCTGAACAGTCAGAATCATTCCTGGAAGTGGAGTAGATGCAGTTGTGCCATACAGCCCACATTTGCTGAGACTGTAACTATCTGAGGAAAGGAGTAAGTGCCCAATCCTGATTCCACTTACATTACCAGCAGTTTTGACATTAGCTTCATTAGAAGTATAATCTGGCTCTATCATTTTACCAAGGAGAGAGTAAAGTATAGGTGACAGGAAGGCACAGAAAATACCTTGGTATGGAAAACTAAGGTTTGAGAGCAACATTTTGGAATGGAATGTCTGGACTAGTCTCTTAGATTGGGAGATCTCTCATTGAAGATCCATCTCCCATTGAAGATTTTGTGCAGATCATCAGTTGTTATAAATTGTCATAACTCCATGGAAATCAATGGTGTGATGACAGTTTACACCAGCTGAGGATCTGTCCCCTCTACCCACTGCCCCCCTCCCCTCATAGACCAATGTCACTCTAAGTTGAGTTGCAATTTTTGCATGTTACAAAGTGTTGAATTTATGTGGGGCTTTAGTTTCACTATATCCAAATTAACTTTAAACAAGTTCCACAGTAGCTATAAAGTTATTAAGTACACAACATTGAGTACAAAATAACAAATGCAAGTAAGCACTGAAATAAGCTTACTAGAACATAAAGGACCAACTGAAATAAATGACCCTGAAACTGCAAAAGATGTAAGTGAGCTGTGATTAGATTATCGTAATTTTAGCCTACCACATTCAGTGCATCTTACTTCATTCTAAAATAGATATTGTAACACATGAAATGATACAGAATAAGGCAAGCACATGATGTTGATCCCAATACTAAAATGTCTGAGCTGTAAATGCCAAGCTAAAAAAATTCTTCTCTGTTTAATGTAGCAAAGAAAAACAAATGTAGGAGGGAGTTTAATGGTTGTCTGTATATAAAATCTTAAGTGATATATGCATATCTGTCAAGTTACTATTTTCAGTTCAGCTCTGAAGATAGGAGAGGAGGGCATTAATGGAAATTAAGTATCCACAAATTCAGAACAGATGTCAGGAAGCACTTTTTCATACAGAAAGCAGCAAATATGTGGATTGATCTCCCAGACAAGTTTGTTAAGACAAAAAACAGTGTGCTTACTCAGGACTCAAGCAATTTAATACTATCCTGGGGGGAAAGAGAGCACCAAAAAGGACTCCTCCATGATTAGTCAAGTAGCTTGTTTTCAAAAATTGCATATGTTCCTGAAGTTAACCTTGTGGAAATCTATTATAACCTGTCTGTTTATGAAAAAAAATTCTCTATCTCTCCACAAATAGAGCATCTTTCAACTGCAGATCTCAAGTCAACACAGGCATGTGGGGACACTTGGCTTTAGACATGATACAGCTTAATTTGATAGGTCATATTGGTTCAGATCTTAGAGACCCTATAGAGTAAATGATACCCTTCTGATTGCCTCTTTAACTGAGTCTGCACAAGTGACCCACAAGGTATGTACAGCTTGGCCAACAAAACACATGGAAACAAGAATGCCACTCTGGAGTACTCCTCAGGGACAGCAGTGCACACCAGTCACTTAGCCAGCAAGATGTGGGACTGGTTTACAAGAAAGAAGGTGGGTCAAGGGAAGATCAATCTACATGGCATGCTCTTGCACATTTGCACAAAAGTTCATGGTGCTTGGGCTTTAGGCAAGAAAAGCTTAAAGCTGCTTCAGGCACCTTTAACTCATACAATAGAAGATGTGGGCCATGGAGTTTGTACTATTATTGATTACATGTGCTGCAGCAGGTGTGATGGCTGCATGACATCTACTTGCATATCACTCAGGACATGCTGATTTTCCTCCTCCGGCCATTATTGTTCATTTGTGCTTTCGCCACTGCTCAGCTGAGCACTTGTGCTTTCAATCAAACTGTTTCTCTTTCCAATTTTCCTTACTACCAAGCAAGGAGGCTCTGGTGAAAATCCTT